TCTGAAGGGAGGGTGTCAAGAAGATGGGGCCAGACTCTTCTAGGTGGTGCCTGGCGATAGGACCGGAGACAACAGATATAAACTAAACCATGGGAAGTTCCACCTGCACATGAAGAAGAAATTCTTTACCGTGATGGTGACTGAGCACTGGAATAGGTTGCCCAGAATGGTTGTGGAGTCTCCTTCCTTGGAGATATTCAGGATCCATCTGGACATAACAGTGAGCAGTGTGCTCTAAGTCACCCTGCCTGAGAATTAGATGACCCCCAGTGGTCCCTTCCAACCTCAAACATTCTGTGATCCCCTGAACTGTCTAATGTCCTGACACCAGACACGACACACACATGGCCACACAACAGGAACATGATGGCTCTTCCATCCTTGGGAAGAGCCGATTTGTCAGAGCAAACAACAGGACAGAGACACAGCATTGCACCCTGGAAGGAGGAGGAGCTAGGTTAGGTGTCCCCATTGGCCAAGGCAGACAAGAACCAAGGCCTCATGAAACACTGGTCTTGGATCAAGTTCTATCTGAATTTTGGTGTCTCAGGTCATGAGAGAAGCTTTGGAGACATGCAGCGTTGGCCAATATTACCTGTAAACCCCCTCCTGATCTACCTGATTCATCCCAGCACTGAATAATGTGCTGCTATATCTAAAACTTTCCTGTGACTGAAAAAGAAACTTAAAAAACACACTTTGTTATTTTTCATATCCAAATCAGCCTGGGTTATTTCAGCCTGGGTTATTTTTAGTGACCAAAACAGAAACCCATGAAAGCTTGTGGGTTATAGCAAAAATGGTAACAGCATCACAAATGCTGACACTAATGCACAAAGACTTCAATTTACTTAAGTATTGGTAACATACAATCCAAGTTCCATCAGATGTTAAAGAATAAACTGCAGCTTTTATCTAGCGGGTCTTTGAGCACCAATGAGGAGTAAATGATTTGATTTTGTGAGCTCTGAGGATTTGTCAGCTGCCTCATAAGTATAATTCTGGCTCTTCATATTC